ATATTATCTTTATTTTAATGTAAAAATAAAAAATATTTATTAGTAAAATTAAAAACTTTTATATAAAAAGAAAAATTCATATTTTATTATGTTTAATTAATAAATTTTAATATTGTTGCATTATTTTTGATTGTTACTATATTTAGTAAAAATATATTTTAAATTTCATAAAAATTGAATTATTTATTATATATATTTTATATTAATTTTAATCAAATTTTATATAGTAAAATTTATGAAATAAGAATTCAAAAAAGTTATTACTAGTAAAAATTTTTTTATGAAATATATATAATTAAAATATATTTTTTTAATTAATTTTAATATCTAATAACTTAATTAAATAAGATAGAATTAAACTTTTATTTTAAAAAATAATTTATTAATAATTATTGATGTGCAAATCTTTTTGCACTGGATTATATTAAGTTTTAACATATAATTTTAATAATAAAATATTATTTTTCAGGTTTTATTCTAGTTATTTATAAAAATTTGAATATTGATTTATAAATTATAATAAAATATATAAATTTTTTTTTGAATTTATATAAAAAATAAATTTATATAATAAAATCATGTTTTTATTTTTATTGATTAAAATTGATAATAAATTATATAAATTTATTTTTTGTATAAATTCAAAAAACAAATTTATATGTTTTACTATAATTTATGAATCAATATTCAAATCTTTATAAAAACTTGAAAATTAACTAGAATAAAACCTGAAAAATAATATTTTATCATTAAAATTATATGTTAAAACTTAATATTATAGATTAATTTTTTATTAATAATTTATAAATTCTGTAAAATGATTATTTATATTTTAAAATACAACAAAATTTTTTATTATATTATAGAATTTAACATTATAAACAAGTTTAATTATCATATAAAAGATTGTTATATTAATAAAAAAATAACTTTACATAGTAAAATACTCAAAAAATTATTATTATTAATTAATAAGTATTCTTATACTTTTTATTAGTCATTATATTTTAAAAAAATTGTTAATTCTAAATAGAATACATGCTAAGGAATCTTTTTTATTATAAAACTTTTTTTAGTTAAAGCATATTTTTTACATTCTTGATAAAAATAGCAAAAAAAACGCACCACCACTTTGGCGGATCGACATGGATTATAGATGAACTGACATAACAATATGTCTCAGTTTATTTACCGTATTAGATGTTATTTGTCTATTATTTTTGCGTTCCTCAGATTGCATGTGAGTGAAAATCAGGTGATCAACGATTTAGCAATGTAAGTGGTGCAGGCCACTGTATAATTCGATTCGATTCCAACCTCTAATCAGTCCGAAAATAAGAATTCGTGAAAAATATCGCATATCGATATTTTTTTTTGTACCAAGACTTATTTCTTTAACAATCAAATTCTTAGAAATGGCCAAAGAAAAAAAAACTGCAGCACGTAGCGCAATTTCAGATGTCGTAACTCGTGACTATACAATTCACTTGCACAAGGCCGTATTCGGCAGGTAAAAAAGACTTAAAAATAGAATTGATTGAAAAGATAAATAACTAAAAAAATCCATTAAAATGTAATTGATTCAATAATTATAAATAATGATTAATTATTATCAAACTCAATAAAAAATACGCATCAATAGGAGCTTCAAATACCGAGCACCACAGGCTGTAAAAGCCATCAAAACATTTGCAAAAAAACACATGGGAACTTCAGACGTGCGTCTCGATCCACAATTGAACAAGGAAATCTGGAAACAGGGTATCAGGAATGTACCGCGTCGAATGCGTCTTCGATTGTCACGTAAACGTAACGACGAGGAAGATGCAAAAGAAAAATTGTATACGTATGTGCAGTATGTGCCTGTGCTTAATTTCAAAGGTAATTCTTTTTTATTTGTCAATCTTTGTGACAAAACATACAATATTAATTTTTATTACCTTTATTAGGTCTGGAAACTACTGTTGTAGAAGAGTAAAAAAAGACATTAATTTGAAATAAATAAAAAATTAAATTTTGAACGATTTATCCCGAGTATCATTTTATTAATAGAAACGATATCGAATATATTATAATTATATGTTGTCTTCTTATTATAACCAATAAACTATAGTATCCTGAATATAGTCAAGAATTCTTTTGATGATCTCGAAGGTACGGAATTCTCGAGTGATATGATTATTCTCGAGTGATATGATTTTAAGATTAATCATGAATAAACCCAATTATTAGTATAATTGAATCCCTCGTACTGTGGAAAATGTCTTCCGAATATAAATTCGTCATTAAGTAAAATCTACATAACTATCAACCTAGAATTTACACGAATAACTTGCATACTTAATACTCATTCGTTGATTCCAATAGTAATCGCAAGATAAACTCGTTATGAATCTATTAATACTAATCACGAAAATTTTCTATGCCGGAACATTCGTCATATTGCAAACTATTATTTGTTTGTCTTCGTGTCTTCCGTTAGAACAATGTCATCATTTTACAGCACGTTGCTTGTCATTTCATGGATTGAGAATGATATAACACCTGTTCTTCAGTTATTTGATTTCCTGGTGAATCAAAATTTCCGACGCGTAATCGGTACAATATTGTTGCTCATTTGAACTCTGATTGTCATTGAAGTCTAAATTTTGACACTTGTCGATAATGTTAATTATCAAATGATATTTAATCTCTCTTAATTACTTGTCTTCAGTAAAAAAAAAAATACTCTTTGATCAATTCCTGCGTACTCTTGATCTCTTTTCATTAGAAGTGTCTCATTTCTTGGGGGAAGTTTCTCACCTTTGTGAAGTGACTCACTCGTTAGCATCATGCGTTAGGAAATGAGTGTCTTTGGGCAAAGAATATTTCCGTATCTCGAGTCCGTGCAACCGACGCTGAGAAGTATGAGTCCATGTGAAAATGTATCTTAGCAGCTTCTCTAGAAAAAGGGTCAGGAGGAAACATTTCGTTTTCCGGAAGAGGTATTTGGAAATAAAACTATCGCGTTGTTTTCTTAAAATGTCTGCAAAAAAATAGACATTGCTTTCAGTTATAAATAATGTGGAAAATCTGCTAATCGAGGAATAATCGGTGAACTTGAATCTAAATTGTTAGTCGTATTTCTATACTAGATATTGATTCTCTAATCTCGAAATCCCGAGTCACTTGGTTTCTCTATCTATTGATCGAACAAACTAATTATATCACAATTATGCTTGATCTAAAACAAATCGATTATAAGTTTCCAAGACCGCCTCCGTATAAGCGAGCCACCAAAAAAGTGCGACACAATAAAGAATTTACTTTCAAGCAAGCTAAAAATCAGAATAAATGGTCCATCGTCATTTCAAAATAATTAAAAGAAAAGTCGTGTAACTTCGTCTAGCGCGGTATATTCTTTGCAGACCCGACAGAAAGAGGTCATAAAGTTTTCGTATAATGTTCCGCAGTCTCCACAAACCACATGTCCACAGTATAACGCGCACATACCACTCTCCATCCCATGATCGCACCTAGAACAAATCACAACTGTATCTTTATCCAAATCCGTTGTGAACCCTTCACGTGGTGGTGGTGATAAAGATTCGCGTTCTTCTTCAGTTTGAGGACGTATCTGACCGTATAAATGAATTCTTCGCAAAATTTCTGCTTGATTTGCCAGGAAATTCGGCTCTATATCATCGTAATCGAGCTCCTCCCCCTCCTCCTCATCATAATCTGTTGAGGCTGGATCTGAAATGTATATTGTTTCTATTTGCCCCTCTTTTTCTTCTTCCTCGTCCTCTTCATTATCATCCACAAGATCGATGTAGATGCGTTGGGCGTCATTTAGAGTTGAGTTATTGGAATTTTCGGGTTGAATTTGTTCACTCCTCTCCTCTTCGCTGTCACTCAACTCAATTACTTCGATGAGAGATTCTCTATTGTTCGTCGATGTTTCTCCTTCATTGTTGAAGACTTTTTCTTCGTCCTCTTCACTATCATCCACAAGATCAATGTAGATACGTTGTACGAAATTTTGGATATCATTTTGTGGAGGTGGATTATTAGAATTTTCGATTTGAATTGGTTCATTATTCTCCTCTTCACTGCCACTCAACTCAATTACTTCGAAGGGAGATGCTGGATCTCTATTTTCAATCAATGTTTCTCCTCCTTCAACGCTGGAGCTAATTACATCTCTCCTACCCGAATTTTTAGAATTTATCGTTGGTAAAAGGGAAGCTTGGGTGTGTAAGGGTACATTACACGAAATTCTATTGTTTTTACGACTAAAGCGATTTCGTGCCACTCCAGTGTTGTTGTCTTGTATGATTTGTGGCTGATTTCGCTTGCTACTTCTGCTGTCTTGAATTCTATATGGTTGTGCCATTTTGAGTGAACGAGTAAGAACGGTTTGGATAGACAACAGTTTTCGAGCAATGATTAACCAATGAATATTATAATCATGTGATTCAATAATAAAAATTACTGACGAAGCTCTCTATGTAGATCAAATCTATTTGAAATATAATAATAAATTTTGTTAGTTCAGGTTTTAAAAGCTTAAAACTTTTCAAGAAAAAGAGATATCATTCTCAAAATAGTATCAAAATATATTATAAGAGATATAATTTTAATGTACGTTGAGTATTTTTACATTTCTATAATAATAATTTTTTTTTAGAAAAAACAATATAAATAATAAAAATATTATACAAAATTCAAAAGCTTATAACTTTTCAAGAAAAAGAGATATCATTATCAAAATAGTACCAAAATATACTATAAGAAATATAATTTTAATATACATTGAGTATTTTTAAATTTTAATAATAATAAAAAAATTTATATAAACTATAAGAAAAATTTAAAAAAATTTGTATTAACAAAATTTATAGCTTAAATATTAAATTTTATTGATTCATTATCTTGAAGAGATCTTATAAAAATAATTTATTATTATAATTTCAATAATAATTCAAAATATAAAGCATCAATTGTTCAAACTTGGCTCAAGAAAAATAAATTAACTGGTCAAATTCTATAGAGAACTTGCAGAAGCAAGTAGACAAATGATTGAAACATCAACAGGTAAGTATTACTAACAAAAAAAGTTGTGAAAGTATTTCAAGAAAGTATGAGAAAGAATTGACATTATGAATTAATTGAAAATATGATATTACATATTATATTAAACTTTATAAAAATTAAATATTTATTATTTGTCTTGATAAAAATCATTTTACTATATTTATATACATGTAAATATTCTTAAAAGTAATTCAAGACTTATATAAATACTATTATCATTTTTATTGGCTTCAAGTTATCTATATGTTCTTCATGTATTTTTAATAACTAAAAGTATATGAGACTAAATTTTTATAATAAGAAAAACTGAAAATTATTATTAAAAGTAGGTAACATGTATTTATGTTGTGATAAGCTAAAATAACTTTACTAAGTTTTACATATTTATTTAGAACTTTAAAAGTTAGGATACAAATAATAAGTTTATTAAATGATTATTTTTCAAGTCAATAACAATGATTTATTATAAGTGATTTATCTTTTAAAATCAAAAATTAATACAAATATAATTTTACAAGTTATCTGAAATTTCTATTAAACAAGAAACTTCTTGAGTTATTAACTACTTTTATCTAAGCTAAAATATATGATATATTATATAAATTACATATTATATAATATAACTGGTTCTATTATTGTTGTCATTAATTTAATTAAATATGAATATTATTAGTATTTCTAGTATTAATACAAGCATTAATATTATTGTTGTTGTTAACACAAGCATTGTTAATATTGCTAGTATTGCTGACATTATTGATATTGTTAGCATTAATACAAATCTAAGAACTAATAATATCTAAAATATAATTATCTAATAAATAATAACTAATTAAAAATAATTATCCAATATAAATATGATCCAATAATAATTAATATCTTTATTATTCAATAAAATTATTTATCAAATATTATATCATGATAATATATATATATTTGTATAATTATATAATAGTAAATTGATAAAAAAGGTTTCTTTTACATTTTAATATAACTAATATAATTGTAATTGTATGAAATAATAATTATTAAAAAGAATAATCAGTTCATAATAATTATGATTTAGTAAATATTGCAAAAATATAAATAATTATTATTAATTATCATAAATATTCAGATTATAATACTTATTATTGTAGTAAGTATCAAAGAAATAATGATTATAAGATATTGTTACCATTTTATATGAGTCCTTGGGAGAGTTGGTGAGTGCTTAATAACGTTATAATAAGTTACTTGGCCAG